TTTTTTTTTGGGGGGGGGGGGGTGCGGGCGGGGCGGCAAGGGGATTGTCAAGTTTGGCAAGCAAGCAAGCCGGGCAGGCTCTCTGGTGTCGTTCTGTAACTACTCGGGTTGAGGGGTCATTCGTGTACAATCCCATGCCACAGCCGCGCTTCGAGATGACGCGGCGGTCGCTGCACGGGTTAACGGGTCTCGCTGCTACACATGCGCGTATGGGAGCGGGGTAGCGGATGGTTGACCCCTGTTGACCGCTAGCGGCGTGCCCTGTTGACCACTAGCCGCATGCGCTGGGCCTGTATTTTGGCGTGGGGAGTGGGGGAAGACGGTCCCCACTCACCATGGTCAGAGCACTGGATGAGCAGGCCGGCAGGGCCACCTCACAGAAGTGCCAGCGCAGGCCAGGCCAGAAACCCGAGCCGCCCTCCGCCGCGCCGCCGCACGCAGATTGATACGCCTCGCAGCGGGCCGCCTGCTCGCGCCACGGGTGCGTGTGTCGGCAGCGGCGATGCGCTTGGGTGTGTTGATGCATTGTGCGGGGTTGCTTGCGCAGCAAGGCGGTTGCATGTGCAACTGCTGGGGGGCAGCTCCGGTCAACGCCTCACAGAGTACCCGCACAGCCCAGAAGCGGCAGCACACAGGCGAGGCCGTGCGCACCGGTGACACGAGGGATGCGAAGGCAAGGGGCGCTTCGATCAGCAGGTGCTGCGCCGCGTCCATCCCCCGGGACAGAAGCGCCAATGCAGCTGCCACGGCCGGTTGCGTGCCCAGGCCTGGGCTGGCGGCCACAACGCCCGTGGCTGCGATCGCCATCGCGATGAAAGCGCCAAGAACTCCTGTTCTCTTTGCCATTGTATCGCGTTGAGTGCAACCACAGGCAGCGAGTCTGTTGCAGTTGAAGATCAGCACTTGCTGCGCTTGACACAGCTGACGGCAAGCATTAATGCATGTAATGTGACTTTATTATGACTATATGCCGAAGCTTTGCCCTGTAGGCACGCGGCTAGGTCGCAATCATTGCGCAGCTGCGACACATTGAAGCCGTACCTCGTTCGTCAATTGAACAAACCTGCATGACATATATACCAATTGCAAGACTCGTCCGTCACACCCAAGACCAGTCACACACTTTATCATGTCGATTTCCATCGCACAGCAGCGGGCGTTCCGCCTCGATGCCGGCCACAAGGTGACAATCCACGTCATATAGCATTTGAGATGCAGTATACCCCGCCCCGTTGGCCCAGACCCCAATGGGACGCACTGCTGGCGGCCGTGTGCCGCTCCGCCCCGCGCACTCACTGCTGCCGCCCGCGCCGCGCCACGCCGGGCCCCGCCTTCCGACCCTCAAACCTCCCACCCTCCTCCTTCACAGGCCGTGCGCGCCGCCGCGCCCCGCGCGCCCCTGCGGCCCCAAGCCCGCCGCGTCGCCGCGCGCGCGGGCAAGGGGGACGCCAAGACGTCCCTGACTCCGCAGGGCTACGTCGATACCGACAACTCGGGCCGCGGCAACATCTTCCCGACGAAACAGGGGGTGAGCGCCGAGAGCCCAGCGCAGCTGCCGCGCAGCTTCACTCGGACAGCAACCTGATTTGCGGGGTTGCCTCGGAGATCCCTCGCGCACCAGGCGGTCCGAAAGGAGTCGAAGGAGCCTGCGAGCGGTGGCGCGAGGCGGTAGCGCGCTGCGCCAGTGCGGCGTGGCTGCCTCGCCTCACCCGGCGTGCGCGACTCCATCGCCAACCGCTCGCCGCGCGAAAGGCCTATATGAAGAAGACCAGCCCCGTTGAGGGCCTCGGCGGCGGCGGCGGTGAGCGGCGCTGCGCTCGCACTAACCCCCCAAATTGGTGCAGGGGCGGCGCTTCGCGCGGGTTTGGGCGCATGTGTGCGGCGCCCACGCCGGCGTCGAAGGATGGAGCAGCGCCGCCGCCCCGCTCTGCCGGCCCGGCGGCACAACGGCCCCGGCCGTGGGTCCCCTGTGGCCCGGGTTTTCCCCTTGACGGACCCTTTCTCACCGCTCGGACTCGTGTGTATCATACGACGTCATCATCCTGCATCCTTATGCGCATCACTCGGATCAGCTTGCCTGCTCTCACACCATACTGACCTCGCCCAACCCACCGACCCAGCTACCCAGCCACCCATGCTTCTTCCCACCACCACCACCACCACCCCCACCCACCTCGCAACATGTCGCCAGGCGTGGGCCTCTTGGGAGGCATCCTCGCGGCAGTGGCGGTGCTCGCGGCCGTCGCCATCGGCCGCCCCGGCGGCGGCCCGGAGTCGCTGTCGCAGGTGCGGCGCGCTCTCGCCCGCCGCCCGCTGGCGGCGCGACGCCTGCGACCATTCGGAGCGCCCGCGCCGGTCGGCCAGTCGAATCGCCTGACGCACGCATGCTTCGACCCACGCATCCCCGGTTCGGCCTCAAGTTACGAGGGCCGCTGGGCCCCCCTCGGCCTGCGGGTCCTCCTCGGCACCCCTCACGCCCACCTCGCGTCGCACCACAGCCCCCAAAATACATCACCCCCACACCCTGTTGCACGCCTGCAGGTCGCGGATCGTTTTGAGGGGGATGGCCTCGCGGTCATTGCGCAGCGCATCCAGAAGAGCCTCTGAAGGACCACAATCGGCTTCAAACCGGCGGCGCCGGCCGGGCCTGCGGCGCCAATGGTTTAGCCATGCATAATGCGACCTGGATTGGGGCTCTCTGGGCTGGGCCGCGCCTGCAGCCGGCCGGCGAGCCTCTCAAAGCGCAAGGCCGGCGAGCCCCACAAAACGTTGGCGGCGGCGGCTGCGCTCGCGCGGCGCCGGCGAGCCGCGGTGCCCCGCCCACGCGCCCTCCCGTCGCGTTGCGCCGGCTCGCGGCCGGCCGCTGCGATGTTCTCAAATGTTGTTGTTGCTGGGTGCGAACTCGCCGCATTGACGGGTGTGTTTTGCGGGCCTGCCGCCACCCCTGCCTGGCATCGCGGCGACACCCCTGCGACGCGCAAGAAGTCAAAGGGCCCGCGCTCACACCCATACGAAGAAAATCAACCAAGTTTTGCCGACACCTGCTGCGTTTTTCTGAACGCCGCCGTTTTTCGAGGGCCTCCATTTGGCAGAGGGAGCTGCATTGCTGGCGCCTGCGGCGGCGGCCGCGGGCAGGTGCGTTCGCATTTAGCTGTCATGATGGCGGCAGGGCTGTCCAGTTGCGACGTGTGTCGTGACAACCGCTTGTGTAAAGCAACTTGTGAGGGGCGGCGCGCATGTGTGTGCGCCTTGCGTCGCAGCCGAGCTCAGCATACGTACATGTCAATGGCCGCCATCCAGCCGGCACACCGCCTCAGAATCAAAGCCCAGTCCCATGAGCCTGGATTGCCATAGAAGCGGGCGACCGCGGGATGCTCCAGCAACCCTCATCCTCATCCTAGTCCGCTTTGGCGGCAGGGTCCACCGCGGCTTGTCGGGGCGTCCGATCGTTTCGATGGCTGGCGGCGCTGCGCGTGGGCTCGGCTGGGTTTATCGCCATCGTCGGATCACGGACCGACACCGCTCTGTCGCCCGATGCAACGCATGACTGATGCCTTTGGGTTTGAAGCTGGTGCTTTCATGAATTACACAATGATTGACGCCAGCCCCCGCACCAAGCCGCTGACGGAGGCTTGTTGCAGCTGCCGCCGTTGACTGGGGTGGGGCGGGTGCCCAGAGGGAGCCCGGCGATTTGAAAAGCACAAGCAATTGAGGGTTGCGGCTGTCGTGACCATGCGACGTCAGACGCTCGGGGGCGAGCAAAGGGCGCGGGCCGCCGGCTTCGGGTGTGGGTCGTCGGCGGCCGAGGCGGATGGGACCCTCTTTAACAGCATGCGGCCTCTCCAGACGCCCTGTAATAGGGGCAGGTCCGCGCGGGCGGCTGCCCTCGCGCGCTCGCGGGGCGGTCAAAGCATCAGTGGCAGTGCGGACGGCGGCAGGCAGGAACGGGTCATTTGAAAAAGTCAGCCCCTCCGCCCAGCAAAGGGTGGCGTGGACGGCGTGCGCCGGCGGCCCGGCACGCACAGGATATGTCAAAGGAAGGTGCACCTCACCAACATGAAATGGCGCGTCGCGCGCGAGGGGGTTCTTTGCAAGTGACGCGCAGGCGCGCAGTTCAAACCCCAGCGAGGTTTGGACCCAAAAAGGCGGCGCCGGTCGGCGCTTCAAGGGTGCATGCCGACGAGGGCGGCGCGGCGCCCCGCGGCCGCGGGGTTGGTGTCCGCAGGGCGGCCGAGGCGCTTGGGCCCGCGCCGTTTTTTTCCCCTTGCTGCGCGGCGGCCGAGCCCGCCCCCGAACGCAATCCTGCCTCCGGCGTGCCTCTCGCGCAAAGGGATCGACTTCTGAATTTGTCTTGCCAGCGCGCCGCTCTACCCTACTAACAGTGTCCGAACGCAGTGTTGATTGGTGTGGGGGACGCACAAGGCAGACAAGTTGTGTGAGAGGAAGAGCGCGCACCAAATACCGAGCAACCGAGGGGCCAGGGTTGCGCGCGGGGTGGCTGGTGCGTGCAAGCGAGTCGCTCGGAGAGGGCGGGGGGTAGGAGAGCCCCACTGGCTGGCGCGCCAGGCGCGGCCGCGCGGCGCGCGGCGCGCCGGGGTCGGCGGGCCGCGGGCGGGGCTTGGGGCGGCAGGGGGGCAACGGCCCCGTGAGGGGGGGGAGCGTGGTTGTCACTGGCCCGGAGGCCGCCCTCCTGATGAATCAGGCGATGAGCCCAACCCAGAGCCACAATTCTCGTCAGTGGATAACGTGAGTCGGCGGATCAGAATCAGAACGGCGTCGCGACACCTGAGGGCGGCGACGGCCCGGCTGAGGTCGGGACGCTGACCCTAGAACTTCCATGGAGGGTTTCATTCCATACCCCTGAACATCTCATCCTCCTCGTCTTGCAGGGCAGGATGCTGCCCCAGCCCTCCAAAAAAGCCGACCCCTGGGGTCGCGCCGCAGCCGCACCACGGCTCGCAGCAAGCGCCCGCCGCGCCTGCCGACGACGCCAGCCGGTGGCGCGTACGCGTGCGCGCGCCGCTGCGGGCGCGGGGCGCCGCGCGCTGTTGCTGCTGCTGCTGCTGCTGCTGCTGCTGCTGCTGCTGCTGCGGCGGCGGCGGCGTTGCGGTCACAAACGGCTGCGAAGGCGTGCCGCAGCTGCTGCATCCGGCGCAGCCGGCAGCGTGCTGCTGCTGCTGCTGCGAAATCTGCTGCTGCTGCTGCTGCTGCTCCCAAGCGGCCGAAAACCTCGCGAACGCACACGCAGGGGCCCCTCCGCCGCTGGCGCCGCCCGGGCCGCCGTGGCGCTTGGCGCGCAGCCGGGCGCGCTTGTGCAGCGCGTCGGCCGTGGCACTGCAGGGGCTGGCCGCCTGCTCACTGCCGTCCAGCAGCAAGCTCAGCAGCCGCATCTCGCCAAGGCTCAGCGGCGGCAGCCCGCCGTCCGCCTCCGCCCCCGCC